CATTTTGGAGATAGGGTCTCGTTTTATGCCTAGGCTGGCCTGGACATGATTCTCTATTTTATGCTTCCTGCTATTGCTGGGGTGATGGATGCATACAACCACAGTCAGCTATTGGTTGAAATGGGGTCTTGTGAATCTTTTGCCTGAGCTGGCCTTGAACAGCAATCCTCCTGACCTCAGTTTCCCATGTAGTTAGGGTACAGGCTTGAGCTTCTGTGCCTGGAAAAGGTTTTAAACTTTTGACATTTATCTCCAAATGAAATTACACATGGAGGTTGCAGAGAGACCATGAAGGACAGAGTGACATTCATTCTCCATCTTTAAAATTGTGCACAGCACTGGGTCAGACTGCCTCAGGTGTATTCATACATTGTATAGGCCCTATAATTATCTTGGACCTAGCACTACCTAAACTCTGCTGTTTAATTTTATATAGACATATCTCCCTATGTAAACCTATCCACAACTTTTGTAATTTTATTTAATATTTCTTTCTCTTTTTTATTAGCATATATTAATTGTACAAACGGGTTCCATTATATTGCCATGCATGCATATAATGATCAAATTCACCCCCCTATTACTTTCTTCTCTCCCCACCCCCTTTTAAAGAATTTTAGTGGGTTTTATTATTCTGTTTTTATAAATGCATATGAAATACTTTGATCATAGTCACACATACCCATTTAGTATTTCTTTATTGGGGTTGCCTCACAAAGAGGAATGGCCAGGGTTACCCTTGAGAGGTTCAGAGCTCAATGAGAGGGGATGTGGACTTTTGGTGGGAGAAGACCCTGAACTTGTCTTTGAAGGGGTGGTAGGGTTCATCGTGATCACTGGAGTAGGAGCGGGGGATGTCATGATTGTTAAGTGTCCTTCTTAGAGCAAATCAGTTTCTTTTGACAAAGGAACAGGTATTCCTACCCTTGTCTCAAGTATCTGAGAGGAGAGGAGAGCTCAATCCTCTTCACCTTCAGGAACACAGACCTGCAGGTTCCCAGCTCAGATGGGATGTGGAGCTTAGCAGAGTTGGTGGAAAAGGCCCTGGGACTGCAGGGCAGTGAAGACCAAGATCTGAGGTTAGTGTAGGGGGGATGGTTCCTGTCGGTGTTGGCTTGGATAAAGGGCACTTGGGAAAGTTGAACAGAGCTTAATTGCAGTGTTGTACTGAGTTGTTAAATTTGTGCCTGTTAGAAACAGTAGTAATATCTTAGTTAATTGAGACAGACTTTAAATTAGAGCTCCCAGAGTGGTCCTTAGTGTTCAACTTGTCACACTCGTAGGATCTGAAGTTTATTCTCTCACTGTGTCTGTGATGGCAGGTCACTCTGTGCATCAGGAACTCCAGGGTCTCAACTGGTACTGTGTGTGTGTGTGTGTGTGTGTCTGCACCCTAGGGAGTCAGAGAGGTCCTGCCATAGTCCCTCCCTCTGCTTCTGAGGCAAAGTCAGCAATCATTTTTGGTCACCTCAGTGGCTGCCCACCCTCTTGTAAGCAATTCTCCCATGTTTGGAGAATTTCTTTCCCAAGAATTCCCTCTCTCCAAGGTATTCATAGAAGGAAAAACTTACTTCCCAGCCTACCTTGTAGCCACTCTTTCTGCCCCCCTCAGTTGCCCCTCCTGGTTTCTGTGCTTCCCTGGTTCATTCTGAGCTCCAGCTCCTTCTCCTTTACTTACCCATACCTTGTGGGCAAAAAGTCATGTTGATTACACTTGTGAGGGGTCTCTTAGATCCTTTTTGTTTGCTTAACTCACACAAATTAGCTTGTTATGTGCTGGGCACTGTCCAAAACTCTTTGCAAATAATATCTATTTATCTAATCTGTCAAGCATCTATATCTATCCTCAGTTTCTCAATCATCTTTGTATCTATCATCTATCTATATCTATCATCACCAGCCCTAAGTTGCCTACATGTTATTAGAATCTATTTAACTGTCATAAAAGTTTGTGAGAAAACGTTAGCCTTGACTGACAGATGAATAAACAGAGACACAGAGAGGTTGCCTGACTTTCTTATGCTCACAGAACTAGCATAAGTAGCAGAGTGGGGTCCTGAACTCAGAGCTGGGACCTGAACCCAGGCAACATGCAAAGCTTATCCCTCAACCTCTTCCTCTTTTGGTGTCCTCAGCAGGGTCTGCCACCACTTTAGGCCTGGCCTTGATACCTCCTACTTGAGCTGCACATGGCTGTCCTATTTTGGGGAAGGTTGAAGTTCTGTTATGTACATGTATCATGGCTTCACTTAGAGCATCTTTTGAAGAATTTTAACTTCCAGCTCAAAAAATGTCACAACTCCATACTTTTCAAGGTGATTGTCCCAGGGTCCGATGAGATGTGGGAACTCCATTTCCATAGCCCCATGGCACCAGGTGAGCTCCACCTTTGTATGTCCTTGTGGACATCACGACATGGGAGCAAAGCTTTAGAAATTTGGTGGGCAAATTCCATTATGAGTGCCCAGTCATGTACCAAGTGCTGTTAGAACCAGGAGTCATTTTTACACCTGTAACAATGACTTCTAGGTGTTGGTCAAGTGATGGGGCTTGAAGCAGGGCTCTTAAAATGGAGCTAATATCGATGGCTTTCCCCTGGAGGTGAGAGGTGCTTAAGTGCCACACGGAATGCTGCACAGTCAACTTGACACGCGCTGCTGACAATTTAGGAATGAGTTGTCTGCAAAATATGGCAGTAGTACTGCAAAAGGAAAGGGGCATTGGAGCCAGTTAGAAGCATTCCTCCACCTTCCATGCATTTCTTAGATATGAATTAAATGTCCTGCGCTGAACTCCTAACTAGTGTTCCTCACCCTCTCTTACTATTGCTGAGAGAATGGCTGCCAGGATAATTCTGCTCCAGGGCTGAGCAAGTCACTCTCCTGCTTAAAAACCTCCCATGGCTCCCTGTTGCCCATTAAAGTCATCCCTGGTATTCAAGCTATTCAATGAGAATGAAGATGAGTCTCTCACAGGCCCAGAGGCTCCTGAAGTTAAGGCCACAACTCTTCCATGACATGCACTCTGCCATGAGAACTTCCTGTTGGGTAAGGTGTTTATGTGTGAGGGAGAGGAGGTCTGATGGGGATCTTGATACCTGGTCTGAGATGGAGTTCCTGGTGTTCCAAACATTCCTGGGTGGCCAGAAGTGTGACATGAGATCACATACTGGGTCTTCATTAATATTTGTGTGAGGTGTGAGTGGTCTTTGCCTTTGAGTTCTCTAAGGGAAGCACAAAGACTGCAAACGTAAATGGATCTGTGGGATCTCAGGCAATTCTTGGCTTTCATTTCCTAGGTGAGGGAATGAAAAAAAGTCATTTCTAACATTTTTCTAAAGCAAAGTTTCTCACTCAGCCTAACCTTGTCACTGTTATTCTCTGCTGGAAAATTCTATTTTTTTTAAGTACTGGAATTTGAATTCAGGCCCTTGCACTTTCTAGGCAGGCCCTCTACCATTTGAGCCATACTCCAGCCCATTTTGCTTTAGGTATTTTTGCTGTCATTACTTTTTGGATACGGTCTCGAATTTATGACCCAGTTGGCCTGGACCTTGATCCTTTTTATTATTTACACTTCCTGCATAGCTGGGATGACAGGCAAGCACCACCATGCCCAGTTTATTGGTTGAAGTGGGGGCTCATGAACTTTTTTTGCCCAGGTTGACCTTGAACCACAATCTTCCCCCCTCTGTTTCCTGAGTAGCTAGGATTGTTGGTGTGATCTACTGTGCACAGCTTGGGTGAATCTTTGTTATGTGTCCTGTGCACTGCAGGATATTTAGTTGCATACTTGACCTCTAAACAATAGATGTCACCCTCCGCCTGAGCCGGGAAACCAAATGTCTCCAGATGTGGTCAAATGCCCCTGGAGCCGAACTACCCCTGGCTGAGCACTCCTAATGGAGGGCAGCTGTTCTTAGGTCGTCACATATCACAATCACCAGGGAGCATTAAAAAACTAACGCTACCTAGTGCTTTGAGAATTCGGATGTCAGCGGCTCTGGGAAGCAACTTGGGTAGCGGGGATTATGAGAACTCCCCAGACAGATGTCACGTGCAGCCAGGTCTGAGCTCCATTGCCCTGGTGCGTGGCAGTCTGCAGGTTTCCTGTGCATTACAGGCTTTACAACTCACCTGTGCAGGAGAGGGGCTATCATGGTTTTCTGGCTGCAGAAGTCAGATCCGGGATGTGGGGTGGGGAGGGGGACGGGAGTTGTTTCCCAGTGACTAGTGAAGTTGGGATTTGAACTCAGCACATGTGATTCCTAACCTAGGACTATTTCCAAGGGATAAGGCATATTTTGCAGATTGTCAGTTTGGCCAAGTGGGTTCTGCACACGAGTCTTCCCCTTTCTGACTGTTTCCTCTATCCAGGGTCCCCTTTAGTTTCCCTATACAAAGGTACAGCTAGCAATCATTTACATTTTAGTATGAATTTGAGGCTGCCCTCCCTTTTCTGGAGAGATAGACAAGTTATGCCTCATATAGAACAGTGAAAAGAATGGCTTTGCATCTGCCCCCAGGTGCAGTGGGGTTGGCCTTAGAGTGAAGTATATGTTCATGACACCTCTGAAATCAAATCCAGTAGTAATCGGGTTACCTCATTCTAGCTTTGTGCTGAAAATCCTGCCCTGTTCCATTTCATTCATAAATAATGTTGGGGCACCTTCTTTGTGGATGGTGCAGCTGTGAAGCCATGTTCTGCTGGTTGGACCTCCTTAACGAGGCTGTCCGTGACCAGGGTGGAGGACCTCTTCTGCTTCAGTGTCACTCGCTACATTTTGGCTCTGACTGGAGATGTAATGTGGAAGGTACCAATACTCAGGAGCCCGAATGCAGGCCATGTATGCCCCAGAGCCTAGCCTGTGCAACCTCAGACCTAAATCTGCAGATGTGTGGCTGAATCTCTCCCTGTGCCCAAGGGTGGCATCAGGAGAAGTTGGCCTCAGAACCCCCAGAGAAAAAGTGAGTGCAGAAACTTTCCGAAACAGATGCCTTGAACAGAGGTCACTTTTATTGAGATGGCTTCATTTTAAGAAAACACAAAGAGATAAAGTAGAGAGACAGATTCAGCTAACAGTTGCCTGGGGGTGGCTGGCCGTTTCTGCCCCATGCTGCACAGAGGGGGATCCAGCCCACAGATCCAGGTCACTCATTCCTCAGGGCCAAGGTCATCTGCCCAGGCCTCAATGTACCTTCTTGAATACTTGCTTGCAGACCACACCCTGCACTCTCATCTCCTGAAACAAGAACAGGTGCTGGGTTTTGGCCAGGGCAATGTCACACCTGGGGCTCAGAGCATCTCAGGGAGGGACCTTTGACAATACCCACATGGCTGCCATTGCTCCCCGTGAGTTGGGCTGAGTAATTCTTCAGAAGGTTCATGGAATGGGACCTACAGAGATCAGGACCTCCATCCTGTAGACAGAGCTGCCTGGGAGAATAGGTAGGGCTCAGAGCTGACCAACAGGATCCCTTGATCCATCTCCTTCCCCTACCAGCCTTAAGAGGCCCAAAAGATCAAGGAGCCTTAGGCCTAAGGCCAGGAAAGCATCTGTACCCTGGTTTGAAAGGAACTGCACCTAGATATATGGCTCCTTAGGTTGCTGAAGATCAGGGCTGCAAGATACTATGAAAGTTCTAAGCTTTCAGTCACACATTGGGGGTTACCTGGGTCCCACACTAGACCAGTTATATCAGTGTCTTCATGGGTGAAGCACTAGAATTACTATCGTTAAGCGCCTTCCAGGTAGTTAAAAATGCGACTAAGACAGTGTCTTTCCTGCCTACGGGGCCAGCCCCTGTCCAGCCCCTGCTGAGTGTGGCCAGCAGGCAATGACAGACATGTTGCCATGTCTTGCAAGTTGTTTTGACGGAGGCAGGACGTTTGAACATCATCTGCTAAAATTTAAATTGTTGGGTGAAGTAGTTTGAAGCTTCTTGAGCGCTAAGTAAAACAGGCCTGTGGACCCCAGTTTGCAGTCTCTGACACAGAACCTGGCCCTGTAGAGTGGAGGGGCCACTGGGGATCACATCTCCTGCCCTCTCTGTTCTGCAATTGAGGAAACAGTGGCCCAGGGAGAAGACTAGGTCACAGCCCAGGCTTTTTGCATTAGGTCACCTCTCCTTAGGGCTTGCACCTTGACAATCTTGCAGACCAGAGATTTCTTCAGAAATTCTGTGTGATAGGATGGTATGACACAAATGAGGATGAAGGAGGCAAGGGCCCTACCCAAAGACACCCAATGAGTGGTCTAGGATTAGAACCCAGGTTTCCTGAGCCAGGCTGCTTCCACAGGAGGGTAGTTGGGAAGCTCTGGGGGTGAAGGCGTGAAAGGAGCTCAGGCCTCTGCTCTGGATCATTGCAGAATCAGGCAGAGTCGAAGTGGCTGTGACCTGAGGTCCTACGGTGGAGGACAGGATGAGTAGGACTCACCACCTGAGCTCAAGATGCCTCCCCTTGCCCTTAACTGAGATCATGTTATAGAGAAGCCTAGAGATTTCTCCCTGGCTCTGGCCTGCTGCAATTGGCAATGTGCACATACATATCATTTAGAGCAAAGTTTGGTTCTACCACTTTCTAGATGTGCAGTTTGGACTCGTAATCTAATCTTTCAGAATTTCAGGTCCTCATTACCAAAACAGGAACCATCCTAGACAGCACTGGCTCACACCTGAAACCTAGCTACTTGGGAGGCTGAGACTAGGAGGATCATAGTTCAAAGGCAGCCTGGGTAAATAGATCACGAGAACCCATCTCCTAAATAACAAGAACAAAGTGGACTGGAGGCATGGCTCAAGCAGTAGAGCAACTGCTTTAGAAGCTCAAAGCCCTGAGTGCAAACCCCAATCCCACACACAAAAAAGGAGCCATATTCCTATTTTGAGAGAGCACAGATAATACAGGTTGTTACTAACTCCACCTGCTCACTTCCTCCCTCTGACTGGACAATTGGGTCAGCCTAGACCTTGAAAACACAATACATGGTTTTTATAGTCACACAAGCATCTTTTCTAGGCTCTTGGAAGACAAACTTAAGAAGAGAATGAAGGCTCAGCCATTGTGTCTTTTCTCCAAGTTCCATATGGACCTCCACAGTGATGAGAGCTTCTGAGGAACCAAACTGGCCCTGCCTAGGAACCTACCAGGTGCAGCTCATCTCCTTCGATCCATTGAGTCCAGCCACGTCCCTCCTTCTCACCCTTCTGCACACACTGGAGTTTGTCCCCATCCCAGCTCACCGTAGTCTGCCAAACAAGAAGTAAAGTTGTTAGTTCTGAGAAAGTGACCCCTAGGGGCTGGAAGGTGGGGGGGCGGCACCCCAAACTTGATAATCCAGAATGTGCTAATGTCAATTTTATTGTAGAAAAATTTCAGTCCAGTACTCTCTGTCCACCATATGCTTCTCTCAAGGTGTGCAAATCAGATTTAAAATTTATGAAAACCTTCATAAATTTAATTTAAAAGGGTAATTTGGGGGAAAAAGTCATTGAGGTGTGGCTGACATTGCAAGAACTCAGAACGGGGCTGTGGGAGGAGGGGCTCTGAGGGCTGAGCACAGGTCAGGTGTGGGCGATGTGGGTGGATGTGAGCCATTTTCCTGCACTTTGAGGCAGACTGCCCAGAGAACTCTGCCTATCCTCAGATAATTATTCCATTCATTGTTTCAAGTTTGCTAGGTACTGGGACACCAAAAAGACCCTGTCCCTGCCCACAAAGAGCTCTTGATCTTACGGGAAGATTGAGCTTAGGTATAAGTAACCAGCTGTAGGTACAAATGGCAGTTAATAGCTACCTGCCTGCTCTAGCAGGCCCTCTTTGCTTGTGGCTATGTCCTCATGACTGTCCATCTGGAACAAAGTTGGTGCCTCCCTTTTATAACTCAGCTTAGGGAACTTGCCGCAATCTCCTTGGTGGTCAGAACCCAGGTAAGTGGGACTCCAAAGTTCCCCCACCCCTCCGTGCTACATTGTTTTTTTTAAGGGCCGCATGTCACTGGAATTTCTGGCCAGAGTCCAGGGGAGGAGAGGCCTGGGGAGGAGGCGACACTAGGCTGGGCCCTGAAGGACAGGAAAGGAGGTACTAAGGGTGGAGAGTGGTTCCTGGTGGACCATCATGAAATGAAGGCAGAGGTGGGATAGAACAAGGAACACAGGATGGGCACCAGGAACTGTTGGGAAAAGAGGGGAGCACAGATGCACAGTGCCTGACACTTCTTGAGCCCCTCACAGCCCACCTTTGAGCCCTCACATCTTCCAGGAGCACAGTGGGCCATGACAGTGCTGGGCCTGCTGAAGGGAAGATGGACAGGAGTCCTCAGGAGACTTCAGAACCTCGCTGGAGCAGTGGGGCCCACCCAGGAACACGGGGCTCAAAACAGTGTGGAAAGTCAGTCCTGTCTCCCTATCACCGCTATGAGCACCTGGTCTTGACTGAGCCCCAGGTCCCAGAGTTAGGTGTGCAGAGTGCAGAGGGCGTCCCTCATAGTTACAACTGCCCACCTCCTTTTTGAAGAAATGGCCTTTCCATAGAGGCGCAAGTCCTCATGTGAGCCCTGTTCCCCACTGCTGTGGGAGGAACTGTTTGCTCTTACTCACTCTTTGGCTTCTAGCAAGTCTGTCCCTTCTCTTGGTCCCCATGTTCCCATTTGTCCTCTGAGGCCTTTAACTCAGAAGCCATGGATTTAGATAACCAAGATTCTAGGACTTTTGTGCTTCCTGCCATGCTCAGCTAAGACCCAGGGCAGTCAGCAACAGCTGGATAAGGATTGGGGAGAGAAGAAATCTGGGAAATGGGGGCTGGAGCATCACTTCCCCTTTTTCTCCTCACTGGGGATCTGCACTGCACCAGCCTCCATCTGGGCTTGCTGATCACTACTGCCCTCTGCTGCTGGAATGAAGGCTGCAATGAGACAAGCATGAGGAGCCAGGGGGAGCCAGGTATATTGGCCCAGCTTCGGACAGGACAGGAATAAGTCTGACCTCTGCTCTTGGATCTTGTTCACAGAGAATAGACACAAGGGGACTAGACCGGCGGTTCCTCTCTCTGGTCCAGAGACTCATTTGGGTCACACGTGTAGCACCAAGACAGTGAAGGTCCTATCTCCAAGTCAGAAGACAATATGGTCAATGTCTGATGAGACTCACGGGGAAAGACTACCATTGATCTTGTGCCCAGTCATCTGGGCCAGGCCTGGGATGGTAAGAGGGGTTCAGGGAATCAGTCTTCAACTTTAAGGAGCTTCTAAGAACACTTGGTTTCCTTAACAACTTATCTTTATGTGTTTATTCAGAAACCTATTCTGTGTGCCAAGGGCTCCTGATTCCATCAGAGGCACAAGGGAGAATCCCTTGTTCTCAGCTATGAGCTACATATTTTTGCTTCTTCTGGAAGTGCCAGGCAATGAGCATACTTATATCCTCTGCGTTGGAAAATAGGAAAAAAATGCTCAAAGAAGAAAACAGCTGTAACGTTAGTACTGTAATCTTGCTTCCTTAGAGATAACTACTCCTGTAACCAGAAATGGTTCAGTTCTGTCCAGCCTTTTTTCCTTTCAATACATACATATATTTCTGTTTCTACAAAATTAGTATTGCAGCCTTGATGGTTTTATATCCTCATTTCTTTATTTGTTAGGAGCAATTTCCCACTTCAACAAGTATTCTCCATAAGTATTATTTTAATTGTTATAATATATTCAGGGAATGGCTGCATAATTTGCAGTCCCAGTGTAAAATGAAATGAGGGACTCTTGTTCAAAAATGATTGAGGTTTTTAAGACAGAGACAGCAGAGCACGAAACCAAGTGACAATCGCTCTGCGCACTGGGCCCTGAAGGCCTGTGTTGACCCAGGCTCATCACACTGGCCCCGGTAGCATTTTATTGCACATACACACCATTATTATCTGTCCTTGGACATTTGGGTAGTTTACAATTCTGTGCTGCTATAAATAAGATTTCCTGGTTTACATAGTTTTCAGCACATTGTTTCCTTAGAACACATGTCCAGGAGGGACGGTTGGATTGGAATGTGTATATTTTTAATGCTTTTGTTAAGTATTGCCAACTTGATCTCCAGCAGGCTCATACCTCTTCACTCTCCAACACTGGTATCAGAAAATGATCGTGAAGAGGGGCTCATTAATGGTAAATCAACTCCTTTTCATTCACCATTTCCAGATCACTATCACCTTTTAACAAGGCATCTGTATATCAACAGTAACAATACCGTTGCCCAAAAGAATGGCAGATGGTAGAATATTGGGCATCGTAATCAATTGATCGAGAAGGGAGCAGAAGCCTATTTGGGTGCAGGGAAGCCCTTCTGAGAGCCCTACCTACACATCAGCCCTCTTTTTTTTTTTTCATTTTTCTTTTATTATTCATATGTGCATACAAGGCTTGGTTCATTTCTCCCCCTGCCCCCACCCCCTCCCTTACCACCCACTCCGCCCCCTCCCTCTCCCCTCCACCCCCTCAATACCCAGCAGAAACTATTTTGCCCTTATTTCTAATTTTGTTGTAGAGAGAGTATAAGCAATAATAGGAAGGGACAAGGGTTTTTGCTGGTTGAGATAAGGATAGCTATACAGGGCATTGACTCACATTGATTTCCTGTGCGTGGGTGTTACCTTCTAGGTTAATTCTTTTTGATCTCACCTTTTCTCTAGTACCTGTTCCCCTTCTCCTATTGGCCTCAGTTGCTTTAAGGTATCTGCTTTAGTTTCTCTGCATTAAGGGCAACAAATGCTAGCTGGTGTTTTAGGTGTCTTACCTATCCTCACCCCTCCCTTGTGTGCTCTCGCTTTTATCATGTGCTCATAGTCTAATCCCATTGTTGTGTTTGCCCTTGATCTAATGTCCACATATGAGGGAGAACATACGATTTTTGGTCTTTTGGGCCAGGCTAACCTCACTCAGAATGATGTTCTCCAATTCCATCCATTTACCAGTGAATGATAACATTTCGTTCTTCTTCATGGCTGCATAAAATTCCATTGTGTATAGATACCACATTTTCTTAATCCATTCGTCAGTGCTGGGGCATCTTGGCTGTTTCCATAACTTGGCTATTGTGAATAGTGCCGCAATAAACATGGGTGTGCAGGTGCCTCTGGAGTAACCCACATCAGCCCTCTTTAAGGGAAGGATCCATCTCACCTGACACCACATCAGTTTGCAAGGAAGCCCCCTCCCAGTCCAAGCTGACTCTGACCCTGAGTGAATTTGGCAGAGTGGTAATTATTGAATAGACTGTCTGCATTGGGTATAGAGCAGAGGCAGATGAGCTCAGAGAGGTTATGTGGCTTTTTCAGAGTCACCCAGCTAATGAGAAGAGAATTTAGACTGGAATATGGACCTTGTATCACCCAATACTCTCTCATTTCTCCACCCAGAGCAGGACACCTGGCAGGTGCCCAAAAGACACCTGCTAAAGTCTTTGGGGGCTGCAGAATAAAGTGCAGGCATTGTGCTCTGGCTCTGAGCAGCCCCCTTCAGTGTGGGTGCCATGCTGGGAGTCAAAGAGGGGTCTTAAAAGCTCCTGCCTATAAAGAGAGTACCACAGAGAAGGTAGACACAGGTGTGTAGTCATCATGCCCCAGGGTGGAGGTGCCCAGGAGGGCTCATGGTTCTCACAGGAGTTTTTTAAAGTGGGCATAGATTTCCAGGCAGAGTGGATAAAGACCAATGAGGGATGGGAGAGGGAGAAATGACAAGCAGGCCAGCTGTGTAGAAGCCTATCCAGAAAACAAGGAGGGGGAGGAACATTGCTGTTGGGTGTGTGATATAGACAAGGCCACAGACTAAAAAATGTGGACTGTGACCTAGAGCACATTTTCCACATCTGTTTGCCCCATGGGTCTGATCTGCTGGATGGAACCCTCAGGAAGGGCACTCACCTGGTGGCCTCAGGAATCTGCTGGGCTGGCCTCTGGAGTAAAGAAGCCTGGAAGCTCAGTTGCCATTTGCACCAGGCTCCTGGTCCCTGTCCACCTCCTACTGTACCTCTTCAACCTGGTAGATCCAGCACTGGTAGCACAGGGTATGTACCTGGTCCTGAGAGAGCTGGGCCCTCTCTGTGAGCTATGTTGGATGACTTTGGGCAACTGGGCTAACTGCTCTGAGTCTGGATCCTCAACTACAAAAGAGGGTTCAGTAATGCCTGCTGTAGTGAACTGTTATATGGGTGGCCCCCATGAACCACGTGATATTCACACCTTCTGCAGTCCCCTCCTGGGCATGGCT